GGCAGTGCTGGGGGAACAGTTGGGCTCAGTGGTCTTGGAGGGCTTTTCCACCCTTAGTGATCCTGTGATTCTGTAACTCTGGTGACCCCAAAAGAGGGTCCCCATTCCTGCAGCCTCACAGGGCAGGGATTCCACCTTGCCAAGGCCACTGGGCAAAGCACTTTCTGTAGGGAATCTCCAACTAATCCCCTGAGTAGCCTTTCTTTTGTGGCCTTCTAAACTCATTATCAAATTCAGGTTATTTTTAGGCTCATTTCCTAAGGGAAAAAGATTAATGTGATGGGAGTTGTGTGTGACACGGGGAGTTGCTGCCTCTCTCCTCCCCCAGATATTTTGAATTCTCTGAGCAATTTCAGCTAAGTTTGATGGAATAATTTAAGCTGTCAAGGAAATAACTCTGTGATGGAGTTGGGGAAATCAGAGGACTGGACAGAGCAGAAACTTCCTGTAAGTACTTCCAGCAAAACCAAAGCCCCGATACCTCGTGGCTTGGGGGATGTTGAGTGGGCAGCTATTCCCACTGGGAACACCTGGGGGGGTTTATGGAGTTACAGAGGGGTTTCATTTAGAGTTTTTTCAATGTCCTTCGCTCCTCTGCAAGTCCCCAGTGATGCAGGATGGGTTAGACAGAGGATGGTCTGAAGAGCTCTCCAAGTTTCCATCATCTTTGTCTCTTAAGTTCTAACATTTGCAGGTGAAACAAAACTTGGAGCTGGAACTATGTTGATAAAAACATCCTTATTTTAATTTTTTGTTGTTGTTGTTAAGAGCATTTTATGTTCTTCATTTCTACAATTTAAAAACTCTTCACCTCATTTTATAACTTTCTCCCATCTATAAATGCATCTCACAAAATATGCACATGGCAAAGTTCCTGCAATTTATGGGACAACAAGCAAACATCCCTGGGGTACAAGAAAACAAAAATGAGAAGCCCACGTGGAAAAGTTCCTTGGACATAAGTGCCCAGATTCAGAATGGGATCTGATCTTTAGGAGAAGGAATTGCATCTTCTGCCCTTGGAAGATTTGACAGGAACACAAACTCAAGTCAGCTCTGCTGTCACAGAACACTGGGGTTTAAACTGTCCTCAACAGAGTTTTAGGAAATGGGCAAATATTGAGGTGTTGTTTGGAGTTGTATTTTCCTGTTTTTACAGAAAACTGGCCTTTTCAAACAAAGAAGAGCTGGATTCTTTCTTCTCATGCCTGGCTTTTCCAGCACTGATAAACAGGCTGGCACAGCTGGCTGAGCTCTTTATGATCCCACTGGTGTCACTCATACCTTGGGAAAGGGGATTTCAGTCCCCACAGCTCAGGAATTTAAAATCATCCCGGGAATAGCAATAAATGGTCTGTTGGTACATCTTTGCCTGCTGGATCCTGCATTCGAGCCAAACCATTCACTGACTCACACAAAGGTTTGGGTTGGAAGGAACCCCAAAGCCACTGCTGTCCCAGGTTGCTCCAGCCTGGCCTTTGACATTCTCAGGGGCAGCCACAGCTTCTCTGGGAAATCCGTTCCAGCACCTCCCCACCCTCACAGGGAAGAATCCCTTCCTAATATTTAATCCAAACCTGCCTTCTTTTAGTTTAAAGCTGTTCCCCCTCCTCCTGGCACTCTCTGTAGATGTTACAAGTCCCTCACCCTGTTTTTTAACAAGCTGCTTTCCCGGGAGAATCCCTGGATTTTCCCAGCGGGGACAGGGAATATGGGGAAAGGGGATACAAGGACGGGGAGATGTAGGGATGCGGGAATGTGGTGGGGGGGGATGCGAGACAGGGGACCTGGGGAATTCGGGGATAGGGATGCAGGGACGGGGAGATATGGGGATGGGGAATATGGGAGCAGGGGGATAGGGGGACGGGGATACGGGAACGGGAGAATATGGGGATGGGGGATGCAGGACGGCAGGTACAGGGACAAAGGACACGGGGACAGGGGTTATGTGGACTTGGGGATCCGGGGACGGGGAATATGGGGACGGGGATGCGGGGACAGAGGGATACGGAGGCGGGGAACACGGGGACAGGGGGATAAGGGGACAGGGTTATAAGGGAACAGGAATGAGGGGATGGGGGGATGCGAGCACGGGGGATACGGAGACGGGGGATTCGGGGACGGGGAATGCGAGGACGCGGATGCGAGGACGAGGGATACGGGGAATGTGAGGAGGGGGGACGAGGGCATGGGGGGATGCGGTGACGGGATGGGGACAGGGTATACGAGGATGAGGG